GATTAAAATGTATTAAGCTCTTAATTTTAGTCAAAAATTTCTCAGAACCTGATTTTCCTAGAAACACTCCCATATGACCAGCTTAAATTAAATATATAGCAATGTCAAGAAAATTCTTTTATGCTTAAAAAAATTTGCGTTTATTTCTAATTAGATAAAAACTGAAAAGATTTTTAGACAAGTAAACATTTAATAAAGCAAATAAAGATAAAGGCCATTCCTATTTTAAAATTCTTTTTTCTAATTGTATTTTATTATTTATATTTGATAATAATTCAAACTATGTGATATTTAAATCTGATGTTCTTATTTCTAGCAGAATGAATTTAAAATCTGAAAACAAGCAATTAAAAATAAGAGATACTTTAAATTAAATAATTAGTATTAAATAATAATAAATAAAAATAGTAAACTTAAAAAAATAAAATAAGTTTAATAGAATATGAATCAGAAAAAATGGATTAAATGTAAAATATCAATTACATAAAAATAAAATAAATAATGTAAATAGGATAGATTATTATATATAATAGATTATTTCTTTATAACCTAATTTTTTAATATAAAAAAATATAATAAAAGAAGTAATTTTAGAAATATAGATATATTTTTTATCTAAAATTTTATTATAAATTAAATTATATTAAATGATACTAAAAAATGATAAAATAATATATATGAAAAAATTATAATTATTTATAATTAAATTTGTAATGTATTATTTTTGTAATCTTAAATTTTATTAATATAATCATAATATGAAAATTTATAAGAAAAATATAATAATATATAAATTTATATAAGAAAAAAATTACTAATAAACTAGTAAAATATGTTACTAAAAAATACAAATCTTATTGTTATATTTCTAATTATATATTAATAAAATTAAATAAATAATAAAATATATATATATATATATGAAATATATAATATAATATAAAATTATATAATAATTATTATTTTAAAATTTTAGATTATGTTATTTATAAATAATAATTATTATAATTTTATTTTATTTTAATTTATTTTTTGATTTATTTTTTAAGTTATTATATTTAATTTATATAATAAATTATTATAATTAATTCTATTTTATATAAATAATTTAAATTTATTTTAAATATTATTAATAAATAAATAATTATTTAAAAATTAATTTATTTTATTAATTAAATGAATTAATATTAAATCTAATTTAAAAATTATATTTATTAAAAATTGATTTTTTTGATAAATTTTTTTTTTTTTTATTAAAAAGATTTTGTATTTATTAAATAATTAATAATTTTTATTTAAAATCTATAATAAATTTAATTAAAATATTTATTATAAATAATGATTTATTATAAATAAATAATAAAATTTTTTTTATTATAATAATAAATATTTTTTTAATTTTTTTATAAATTTATTATATTTTACCATTATAATTAAATTTCTATATAGTTATTCTATATAAAAACCTTTAATCATACTCGTTTATTAATAAAAAAAAATGGATCCAATGTTTCACTATTGTTATAAACAGTTTTCCTTTATTTTATAACTGCTTTACTAAAATAAGTAATTTTTGTGTATATCAATCAATTCAAAACGTTAAAGTTTGACTTGATCACATTACTTATGGGGTTTGAAATAATTAAGACTTTATGATAGAAATCAATTTTTAATAATGAAGAGTGTGTTGAGATTTACTTTAATGTTTTTCCTCAAGAAAATTAGATTATTTTGAACTTTACCTATTTACAAAAGTAATTTTATTTTCTTATTAGTATATTACTGGTTACATAACTTACAACAAAAGTTAGCAATGTCAACACCACCTAATAATAATACTACTAATACTACGCCTGCAATAAGAATTCTTACTCCATCGTTACCTCCAACAATGTCAACGACAACAATAACAACAACAGGACAAACGGAGGAATGGGATAGTGTTGATGATTTTTCTGTTGATTCTTTACCTGCTGAAGAATCTTCTTCTTCAACTGCTCAAAGTCCTTTTACACCTAGTTCACCGCTAGAAGAAATAAATGAAGGAGAAATAAATGAACATGATGTACCAAAGAATCCTTCAACAGAGCTTTTACAAAAAGTTGGGTTAGTTGATATTGATTCGATTCAATAACTTTATCCTTTACCATTGCATTCAAATGTTTATATTTGGAATGAAAAATTTTTTAAGGTTTGCCTGATCCCTAAACGGAAAATTAACAATGTATCAGGATAACAATTTTTAACTGAAATTTTTTTTTTTTTCCTTTATCCTTTCTAATAAATAAACCTCCTTTATTTTGAAAAAAAAAAAAATAAATAAAAATTGGGAATTGTTTTATTTATCACTTTTTCATACATAACTATAACTCGAAAAAGACATTGGTTTTATAATACGAGATTCGTTCAGTACATGAAATCAGACGAAAGATCCAGAGTAAAACATAATTATTCATCGAATCCAATATGGATGCTTGGAGTAGAATATAAATTTACAGGTAAAATTAAAGATCTCCTGATAGAATGTTCACGATTCTTGATTTTATGTATAATTGGATCAAGTCAATTTTGTAAATATGTATGCCTCTTAGAGGACGGTGGAACGATCAATCTTCCGAAACCCGACAGAGGAGAGCATGCTCGAGGCGGCCGGGCTTCATCTTTATTGAATTTTATAATGTTCGGTTCATCGGAAGAAGATGAAGATTATAATGATGTACCAAGTATCCACGAACGCCACCATAGTGATGATTTTATTCGTACACATAATTTTGGCAAGTCACGTTCATTTTCACATGAAAATTATTCCCAGCAACAACGGCAACAACAACAGCAGCAACAGCAACAGCAACAGCAACAGCAATCGCAACAATTGGGACAAAAGGGAAAATCTATTTCACCTTCTGGAAGTCAAAATGTAATTAAGCGATTAAGGTCATTTTCATTTTCTTATAAATCATCGGATCAAAAAACACCTACTCCAGAATCTTCCCCTCCAAAAAATGAAAATCGTATTATGCTAAAGTCAAGAATAAGGCCACTTTCTTCTAGTAAAAAACAAGAGTTGTCTGATTCATTAAATTATGAATCAACGTCTAATTTGCAAAAAGATGTGGTATCGACATCAGTGTCTCAAACGAACAATTCTAATCAATCGCAAAATGCTCGACGATTTTCTATGAGTCCAAGTTTTTTACGTTCATTTTCAATTGGTTCAAATTCATCATCGAACCACCAAGAAAATTCAAGTCCCAATTCACAGGTTCAAGGTAATCTTTCACCAAAATCTAAAAAGCATAGAAGAAAGACTTTTGGCGCAAGGTTCTCTGGTAGAGAAAAGAATAAGTATAGTAGTTCCTTACCAACACCACAGCTTTATCCACATTTGGAAACAGAAACAGATTATGAATCAAAATTTTCACATGATTCAGGATTAAAACGAACAAGTTTTGAAGATATAGATGTTTCAAGAAAAAATAGAGAGGTCATATGTCCCGAAGACTTATGTTTTAGTTCAGAAGAAGAAAGTAATAGTAGTGAAACAATATCTAAACCTGGAGAATTAGATGTAGAAGCATTGTCTGGCGACAATATTTCTGTTGAAACTGTGACACGTGAATCAATGAAGTCATCAGATTATCTTGGAGTTTATACATCTAAAAATAATAATGATTTACCTAAAGACATTGACATTTCTAAAGATGTCTCAAATAATTTACAAAATGATCGGTCAATGATATCAATTCAAACAGATATGTGGGGTTCTCAAAAAACAGAAACAGGATCAGTAAGGTCTTCAGGTTCAGTAAGATCTTTACCTCCAACTCCAACAAGTTTATATAGGCCTGATTCGCTTGGACCATTAACTAATGACCAGCAAAAGTTATTAGATTTCTTGTTGGATTTTCAGTCAAGGATATTTTGTTGTTATCGAAAAGAATTTCCTCCAATTGAACCCGCATTTCATACCACAGATACAGGTTGGGGTTGTATGCATAGAACTGGTCAAAGTTTATTAGCACAAGGATTTTTATGGGTTTTATTGGGAAGAGGTAATTATAAATTGTTAAAAATTGCAAATTATTAAAAAAATTTTAAAATGGAAAATTTTTCTTTAAATATTTTTAGACTGGCGGTTACACAATCTACAGACAGAATCTGATATATTAATATATAGAAAGGTATTTTGAGGATATTGTCGAAAGTTTTCTGATGATGAATCTTATTATGTATTATTTTATTATATAACTTATTTAAAATGCTAAACATTAGATTTTGCGTTGGTTTATGGATGGACCTGAATCAGAACAATATTATTCTATCCATAATATTGCCCGTGTAGGGATTTCATTGGATAAAAAAATCGGTGATTGGTTTGGGCCGGCCACAGTGGCTCATGCATTGAAGTGAGTATTTTTAGATATTTTTCAATTTCGGAATGTAAATTTATATCTAATATTTTTATTCTTATTATTTACTAGGCGATTATCAATGGCTCATAAAGAGTGTCCATTGGTTATTTACGTGCCAACAGATAATACAATTTATCGTAGTGAAGTTGTTAATGCTGCTATGGAAAGTTGTGACGCTATTCCTGATCAAAAACCGTGGAAGCCGGTTCTCATTTTGCTTTCTATAAGGTAAGGTTTTTTTTTAAAAAAAAAAATTTCTCGAATTTCAATTATTTTGGTTATTTTTAAAAATATAGTTATTTTAAATTAGGTTGGGAACAGATAAACTTAATCCAAGTTATTCAGATAATTTAAAGGTATATTTCATGGTAATAAATGGGATGATTGCTAGGAACATCAAGGTTCTGAGATTTTTTTTTTTTCCCCGACGAAATTACAACCTTATTGTATTTTAATTAAAAAACTAGAATGCAATAAAATTTCAATTTGTTTAAAAATCCCAGAATCTGGTATTGTTAGTAATCATCCCATATGGTTGAAAGTAAATGAGAAAGGATCCGATATAAATTCGTTATTAACTTTTTTTTTTCGAATTTTTTTAAGTTATTGTTTAGGTTCCCTCAATTTTTGGGAATTTCTGGCGGTAGACCCGGTAGATCATTGTATTTTGTAGCGTTTCAAGGTAGATTGATCTAATCTTTTGGATTATCTAATTCTATTTAAAATTTTATTGATTCGTCGTCCTTTATTTCTTAGATGATGAGTTATTGTATCTTGATCCTCATTTTGTACGACCTGCTATAAATCTCAATAAAATTACAGAATTTCCAATCGAGGTAATATATAATCATACACACACTTGTACGTAATTTAAAATTTTAAAATATTTTTTTTATTTTATAGGATTACCATTCTACTATTGTTAGGACAATGGATATATCGGAAATGGATCCTTCGATGTTGTTGGGATTTTTATGTCAAAGTTCCCAAGATTTCGATCAATTATGTGGTCGAGTCGAAAGAGTAAATATAAATGATTAATTATATTGTATATTAATGCTTATAATGTCTAGATTATATTAATTTATCATTTCTTTAGGAGATGAATTCACAATACCCATTATTCACAATATTAAATGCATGTCCTATTCCAGGATCATGGTCAAGAAAAAAATCCTTGAGTGATGTTTCGATTAGTGATAGATCTGTGAGTGACATGTCACCTTCCATAATTATTGAGACAATTGATGATGTAGATGAAGATGTAGAGGATTTCAAAGATATAACACATGAAGAAGAGGATGATGGTGTTATAAGTGCGAAAGGGGATGATGAAATAATATTTGAAGAACAAAGTGACAACAGTGAAGTCAATATGGTAAATACGAATAACAAAAATGAACACAATAGTAATAATAATAATGAATGGATTAGCATCTGAAAATATCTGTATAATGGATTAAACTTACGAACTTTTGTAAATTTATTTGTATTTTTACACGTTATTATTTACATATATACATATTACGCTCATTTTAAAATTTTCATTCAAAAAAAATAAATTTTTTTTAAATATCCGTATATACATAAACACTTAAAATGTGGAACGTTCCAGGCATTACCATCATCACCTGTCATTTCTTAAATGCTTTATATTTCGAACCCATCAAAAAATTCACGTGATATTTTTTATCACTAGTAGTAATCAAAATAAATAATTAATACCTTTGTATTTTATAGATCCTAGAAGTCTAAAGGAAATTTCAAAGAATTATTTATTATAAAACTTGTCTATTATAATGTTTTAATGAGCTAGTTAATAAAGTAAATAATAAACCCAGAATTTCTTAAGAATTACAATTTTAGGATTTAGGACCGGGTCTCATACTTAGCGGTCCCATAATATTGCCCAATTTTACAAATTTATTGATAAGTGATTAGACTTCTCGACTTTGTAATCTCTTAACTCGTAAGGACCGGTTAACGATCGCTTAATATCCCTTAAATCTTTAATCTTTTGTTTCTTACAATTACAGTTAGTTGCAACTTTATTTTTTAATTATTTACATTATTAAAATTGTTTAATAGTAATTTCAACTTCTAACTCCTATGGTTAACAAGAGTTTAAACCACAAGTAAATAAATAATTTTAATATTGTAATAATTACAAATAGAGTAAATTTATTCATCGCAAGTGCGATATCATCGCCTCTTTTTTGCCACCCGTGTCACATCCCCTCCCTTTTTTATTTTTCATATATATTCTGAGAACATGTGTGAACTCCTATTTGTCACATAGGTTAGTATCACATGGTTTAGAGTTAGGATATAGAAATATTACTTTCTCTATTATTTAGATCATTTTCAAAATTTTCAAACCAATTATGATCTATAGATTGTTAATTTACAGTTATAAAGTTAGAGCTTATGAATGAACTAGCAGTTTATTAAAATGGATTAATTAGAGCAAAAGGATCAAATATCAAACTATATTAGAATAGTTAAGCTTGTGAAAAATTATTAAATATAAAGATACTTTCTAGTTAACTAGTTATTAAGTATAATTATAATTACTGGTTATTAACTGTTTTCTATTCTATAGGAATGAAGATCTTTTTCTATTATTTGTATTAAAAGTAACCTATTAAGATATTTTACCTGATATCCATTTACTTTTTAAATTATTTGCATT